ACCCAGCTAGGGAGCTGCAGTGCTGGGAGGAACGGGTGGTTGATAAACCTGCCGTGTCCCGGGAGGTCCGAAGGTCTGGCTGCTCTATGAGGGGACCGATTGCATGTCCCAGCAGACAGGGGAGGTGACAGTGGCAGAAGCTGCCAGGTCCCGAGGAACGGTGCACCCTCCGTGGAGGCTGAGCCCCACGACCTGTGCTGTGCCCAGTGTGATGCCTGTCTCCTCTCTCTCTTTCATCTCTCGTCTGTAGGGCAGCCCTGCTGACTGGCCGCTTCCAGATGCGCTCCGGGGTTTACCCCGGTGTGTTCAACCCAGACTCGCGGGGAGGCCTGCCGCTGTCTGAGGTCACCATTGCAGAGGTGCTGAAGGCTGAGGGCTATGCCACAGCCATGGTTGGCAAGTGGCACCTTGGCCTGGGGATTAATGGCTCCTTCCTGCCCATCCACCAGGGCTTTGACCATTTCCTGGGAGTGCCCTACTCCCATGACCAGGTGAGAGGCCTGACAAGCCCTGAAGGGTGTCCCCGGGGCTGGCTGGGGAAAGTGCCTGAAAGATGAAGCTTGCTTGAGAGCACATAGGCCAGGTTAGTGCTTACCTGGGCAGGTGGGTGTGGGTGGCTGCAGGCTGGGGAGATGGATGCTGTGGGGAAAGCCCATTTCTGAGATGCTCATATGATAGGGCAGTTTTGCAGAACGTGGGTGGCAGTTGCGCATGGGGACATACGCCCTTTGTCAAGGGAGGGAGGGTCAGGTCCTGGGCTACAAAAAAAATCTGAATTGCTGCCAGGACAGAATGATGTTGGGACAGCATGGTCCTTGGATAGTTCTAGGGTGGGCACAGACCCCTGGGCTTCTGGGATTGGCTGCCCAAAGGGTGCCTGTAGGACCTAGTGGTGGCCACTGTGAGATTCTTTGCTCCCCTTCCCTCACTGTCCTGCAACACAGGTAAAAGACAAAGTGTTATTTGTTCTTTCCAGGGCCCCTGCCAGAATCTCACCTGCTTCCCACCCGACATCAAGTGTTTTGGGACTTGTGACCAAGGCTTAGTGCCAGTCCCGCTGCTCTGGAACCAGAGCATCGTGCAGCAGCCGGTCTCCTTCCCTGATCTGGTGCCCCTCTACAACAAATTCTCCCGGGACTTCATCGCTGACTGTGCCAAACGAGGCCTCCCCTTCCTGCTCTACTATGCCTCCCATGTAGGAGATGGGGAGGGCTGCTCTGGGCCCAAGGGTGGGGAAGGGAGCCTTTGTCCTGTGGGGAGAGCAGGGAAGCATCTCAGCTCCTGCAGCCCCAGGACTGCTGAGCAGTCAATACCTGCCCCTGGATGATCTGGGGTGGCTGTTCCCATGCCCAGGTCTCGTGACAGCACCGTTCTGATAATGTTCTTGGGCTGCTTCTTTCTGGAGCCTTGCACGCTTCTCCGGGCCAGGAGTCCACCTGGGAAAACTTCCCACTCTGGGGCTCCACATGCTCTCCTGGGGCTCAGCTCCTTTATGCCATTTCTGAGATGTTTCTGAAGCTTGGGGAGAAGCCTCCTCTCATCTCATGGGTATTGTCACATATCTCTATGTCCTAGCTGGGGTGCTCACTGTCCCTGGGTGAACTGGGAACCAGATGCAGCTCTGGGAGTTTGCGTAGCAGTCTTCTCTGCCCTTTCTCCAGCATACACACTACCCTCAATTTGCAAGCCAGGACTATGCTGGGCAGTCACGGCGTGGGCCGTTTGGTGATGCACTCTTGGAGTTTGACGGCTCAGTGGGACAGCTGCTGCAGGCACTGCAGGAAAATGGTCTTGCAAACACGACCTTGGTGTTTTTCACCTCTGACAATGGGTGAGTGGGCTCAGCAGAGGGGACTTTATCACTGATAAGATTCTGCTGCCATGGTATGGGGGAACCGGAAGGAGGCATTGGTTGGCTGGGGTAAAAGGCACATGGTGTGGCATTGCCAGGTGAGACCCCAGTGACCTGAAGTGAGGCAAGAGATGGATGCTGCTCTCAGGAGGACCTAGTGCATGATCTGCTCCTTGTTCCTGTGACTCAGCTGTGCTTCTCCTCGTGGGCAGAAACCTCACTGGGTTTGGGCCAGGACTGTGCAGCAGCCCAAATATACCTCGATTCCCTGTGTGTGTGTGGCTTTGGTCTCTGGTGCCCTGCTTAGGTGTCTCGCACACCTTGGTTTCTTCACCTGCCCCTCCTGCCTCACAAGCCTGAGAAGCGTGGCAGCGTCACTTGCTGGCACCATGTATCTCTTGTCATGGCTGTGTTGGCAGCATCAGGGAAGGCGTGGTGTGAACCTGTGAAACTGATGGTAGGTGGTTCTTCTCTCTCACAGCCCTTCCACCATGCGGATGGCACGTGGAGGCAGCTCTGGCCTTCTGAAGTGTGGGAAGGGCACAACATACGAAGGTGGCATGCGGGAACCGGCAGTGGCTTATTGGCCAGGCCATATCACTCCAGGTGAGACTTGGCACTGCTTGTGCCTTTTGTATGCTGATGCCAGCCAAGACAGGGTGTTATGGCAGCTGAGCTGCCCCAGGACAAGCAGAGGGTGGGAGAGAAGTGAGGATGGCAGGGATGGGAGTGGGATCAAGCGCTTGAACCTTTCCTTGTGCCTTGCTGTGGTGGGTGACAGGAGTGACGCATGAGCTGGCAAGCACTCTGGACATCCTGACAACCCTGACAACCCTGGCTGGAGCAGCTCTTCCCAAAGTTGCCCTGGATGGCTATGACCTGAGTCCGGTGCTGTTTGGGTCAGGGAAGGTGAGTCCTACGGGTTGGTTCAGCTGACATTGTGCATGAAGGCTGGGTGTGGGGCTGGAGCTACGTGCCAGCTTGGGGTCAGGGGAGATCCATGAGCTAGGACCTTCTATCTGGCCTGGGTCATGCCACGGAGTTCCTGGGCTTCCCCAGGCTGTTCAGCTCCAACACCTGCAACATGTTGCCAAGCCAAACCTCTGTGGCTGCAGTGGATGGACAGAGCCCCAGTAGTTTTCAGTAGGGTGCAAACAGGATGATGCTGCTCGTCAGCTTCCCCCCTCTCTGGCCATGTTCTGGCTGTAGTATCGGGGCTCCCTGGAGTCTGCCTGGTCAGGTTCCAGGCTCTTCTTCAGCCTCATGGCTGCACAGGTGAGCTTAGTTCTGCTGCTTCCCACAGAGTCCCCGTCAGACGATGTTCTTCTACCCGCCATCCCCTGATCCACTGCACGGCCCCTTTGCTGTCAGGCTTGGGAAGTACAAGGCCCATTACTTCACACAAGGTTAGTTCTGCCTCCTCTCCTTTGCGCAGGCAGCTTTGTGAAGTCCTGTATGGTTTTGCTGTCCAAAGCTCAAAGAGAAGAAACTGAGCTACACCTGGGGGTTTCTTTTGCAGGTTCCTTTCATAGTGATACGACCCCAGACCAGGCCTGCCACGGGCTGACCCCGCTGACCCCTCACGTGCCCCCGCTGCTCTTTGACCTGGAGTCAGACCCAGCTGAGAACTATGATCTGCTGCAGAGCAGTGCAGGTCCAGAGGTTCTACAAGTCCTGAAGGAGATCAAACTGCAGAAAGTTCTTTTTGAACAGCGCATGGGGTTTGGGGAAAGCCAGATCAGGAAGGGCAGGGATCCTGCCCTGCAGCCCTGCTGCATACCAAGCTGCACTCCTAAGCCTTCCTGCTGCCACTGCTCCTAGCCTCTTGCTACTCCATCCCCTTCAGTTGCTCCACACTGGAACCCTATCCCAAACCCACCAGACCCCCCCCACCCCCAGCTAACTGCCTTGGAGCTCCCCTGCAGCTTTGGCTCAGTGACACCTCTGACTAATGGAGTGCTGGGGTAGCAAACTGCGGGTCGGGGGGATTACCAACCCTGCTAGGAGTGCGGGTCAGTGGAGCCTGTGCTCTGTGTTGGATATTCAAGCTGAGGCCTCTTGACAGAAACCCTGATTTGTTCAGGGAGGGACCATGATATGGCATCATCTCCAGAGCCAGAACAGCTCCTTTCAAACCATCATCAAGATGTAGCAAAGGATAAACCCCAGTGTCCAGGGATCCTTACTCAGCTGGAGGCATGCTGTGCAGCCCTGGGTGGGAACAGAGCTGGGAGCTGCAGCATCATCACTTGCCAGGGGCCAAGAGTACAGCAAGAAGAGGATGGGATGGATGGTCCTGGCAGCCTCAGAGGTAGGACCTTGTACAGCTAGTGCAGAGGGGACATGCCTAGGTGGGAAGCAACTCAAAGCCCCTCCAAGTCCTTCATGACTCCAGGAGGTGGAGATGTGGCAGCGGTTGGCAGGCCTGGTCCTCTTGTAAGGTCTGTAGATGCGGGGGCTGATCAGGTGGGCTGCAACCGCGTGCCATCCACATGACTGAAAGGGTCTCTCTCCTCTTGCTCACAAGCTAGTCCAGCTTAAAGTTCACTCATGAATTGCACACGCGCACAGCAGTCCCACCAGGAGCTGGCCCTAGGCACTCGGTGTTTCCAACTGCTGGGTCCCTAGGACCTCTGTTCCCTTCTGCCACTGCTAGCAGCCAAGCCTCTGGACCCACCCCCCTCACCGGGTACACAGAGTGGGGCCACACAGGAAAGTATTTGGAATTGCTCTCAGAAAGAAGGAAGGATGGACTGTGGTGGTCATGGAGATCACGTGAAGGGCTCGGTCAAACAAGCAAACCAACCAGCACTTTGCTTATGTGCAACTCACTCCTTTAGCCCCCCTTCTCCCCATTTTCCATGCTTGTACCACCCCCTCACCTTCCTTGACTCCTCCCTTTCTCTGCCCTTGTTTCTGCCCAAACAAGGTACCTACCCCCAGTTATTTTTTCTCCCCTTACTCCAAGGTATCTGTGAAGTGTGGCCACCTCTCACATCAATCCTGCTTAACCACCTGCAAAATCTGGTGCTGGAATAGCAGAGTATCCACAGAAGACAAGCTGTCTTCTCTAAGTCTGCCTTCTGTCTGTTTTAAGCAGATATGGGGCACCACCTTCAGGTCCATTTTCAAAAACCAAAGCAGCCTTGAGTCCCATTTGTTTGGGGCCCAGTTCTGGTGCCTATGAAGTGACGCTGCACCTCAAGGGCCTTGGGAGCAGCTCTTCCACTTTCAGACAGTGCCTGATGCCCTTTCGTCCTAGGGACCAGGTTGCACACTCAGTTGTGTGCCTTAGGTCTATCCCCACAAGCCAGGGATGGCAGCAGGAAGCACATCTTGCATGAGCTTTGAGGCTGCCATTCTTCAAGCCACTGCTCTCCTGGACGGTAGCCTCCAGGGACCCAGCCCTGCTCAGCAGATGCAACGCACGTGCCTGGCTCCCACTTTTCTCCCATGACTGCCCTGCACTCCAGCACCTGAGCAAGGCTCCACCATACAGCTGTAGAAGGCAGACTGATGGGATGAGGCTGATGCAAGATTTACCAAAGCCATGGAGAAGAGCACATGGGGCCGAGAGCAGGAGCGTCCTTCTCTGTTTAGAGCTTAAAATTGCATGTGCTTGGCCACGCATACCAGGCATCACATCTGCCCTGGTCAGTTGGCCCAGAGCAACAGCATAACTCATAGCTGGCAAGGACATGAAGCCTGCCAGAGGGTGTTGCTGTGGCTGAGATAGCCAGTGTGGACTGTGCTGCATCTGTGTTTCACTGTGCTTTGCACAGGAAGGTTGACACACTGCTTGGGTATGCCTGGCTTATTTGGCTTGCACATCACTGCTTGCCTCCCACGGCTGTAATCAGATTGACGCTTCAACACCCAAACATGTCCATGCTGCCTGTCGTAGTTACGTTCTCTGGTGTATGTTTTTTGGGAAGGACCTGGTGGCAAACGGCTGAAGAGAGCAGGGTGGCAGTGAACTTCCCAAAGAGGCTATGGTGCCACACTTGCTTTTTCCTGCTTGCTGTTAGCAGGCAGTGCTTGGAGCCAGGCACTGCTGTCTGCTATGGGGCTGCACACCCCCATCCTGCAAGCCAAGCATTGAGCAGGGCACTGTCGGGGGTGTCCGATCCCAGCTTCTGCCTCCCCTCCTGCTCGGAACCTCCCATGTTGCCCCCCCCATCCCGCAAGCCAAGCATTGAGCAGGGCACTGTTGGGGGTGTCCGATCCTAGCTTCTGCCTCCCCTCCTGCTCGGAACCTCCCATGTTGCCCCCCCACCAAGAGGCCGCTGTGCCCAGCACCCGGAACCAGCGACTCTGTGACATCAGCCCTGGGGCCGAGGGTGCTGCGGGCAACGTGAGCACTGTGGGCACTGTGTCAGCTGCGCAAGCCAAGCATTGAGCAGGGCACTGTTGGGGGTGTCCGATCCTAGCTTCTGCCTCCCCTCCTGCTCGGAACCTCCCATGTTGCCCCCCCACCAAGAGGCCGCTGTGCCCAGCACCCGGAACCAGCGACTCTGTGACATCAGCCCTGGGGCCGAGGGTGCTGCGGGCAACGTGAGCACTGTGGGCACTGTGTCAGCTGCTGTGCTGGTGGTGACAAGCCCGTGGTTCTTGTAGCTGCCACATGCTGCTGGCAGCAATGAATTTGCTCTGTGTCCTTTTCCTGTTGGCCGTGTGCCGGCCTGTGCGCAGCGCATTGGACACCTGTGGGTGAGTTGCCCGAGGCTCTGGGAGGGAGCTTGGGCAACCCTTACGGGGTTTACTGGAGAGTGCCCACTTGTCCCCCGTGGCCACGCCACAGCTTCCCACACCCCCTGTGGGAGCCTCAGTTCCTGGCCAGCACCCGGGCTGCTGGCACAACTCATCTACGGGGCTAAAGCAGAAACAGGGGCGGACAGACGCACACCCCACAGGGTTCCCTGGCCCTGCTGTCCATGCAACGCTTTGTGGGGAGGGCAGATGGCTGATGTTCAGCCTGAACAGCAGCAAGCCATTGAGCAGGACAGTAATGAGTTTCTGGTTACAGAGGGACCTGCGGGCTCCGGCCCATGGCTTCTTACTATGGCATGTCACGCGTCGTGGGGGGCACAGATGCCCAGCCGGGGGCCTGGCCCTGGATCGTCAGCATCCAGGATCCCTGGGAAACAGGCACGGGGCATATATGCGGAGGGTCCGTCATCAGCCCACAGTGGGTGCTCACAGCAGCCCACTGCTTCATCAAGGCCAGGTAAGGAGGACCAGGGAACAGGGATATCCCCACAGCACTGGCAGGTGCCCTGTTCGCAGCACTACGTGCTGCTCCCACCCCATTCCCTTGCAGTACGCCCGGTGCCTGGGCACTCCAGAGCCCAGCTGAGAGACTGCTCACGAGAAGGCTGGGCTCATGCCACTGCTTCCTAGCAGGCTCCAGCTCGACGTTCCTCGTGCCTAAGGCACACTAAGGCAGTCGCACCCTCCGTAGCGCCGCTTTCCTCTCTTCCCCGTACGGTAGCTGCGGGCATGCTGCAGCACATGGCTCCGCTCCCTCTGACCCCTCTCTCCATCTGCCTTCCAGGCACATCACCATGTGGCGCGTGGTGATCGGGGCCACCCAGTTGACTCAGCTGGGCCCTGAGGCCCAAGTGCGCAGTATCAAGCGGCTACTGGTTCACGAACACTACAGTAATATCTCCGAGAGGAACGACATCGCGTTGCTGGAATTGGACCAGCCTGTTGAGTGCAGCTCCTACGTACAGCTTGCCTGCGTGCCCGATGCCTCACTGAGAGTGTCAGAGCTGAGAACCTGCTATGTCAGTGGCTGGGGTTCCACAACTGCAAGATGTGAGTTCCCAAAAAG